GAAGTCAGCACAATAGAGCCAAGGAAAATAATAGCTAGAAAACAAAAAAAAATTCACACGTTTTTACACCGAGGTAAACTAGGAAGCCGTTGATTCAAACCCAGCTGGCATGGACTACCCACCATCCTGGGTCTTTTATATTATATGGACAAACCCACACCTTCAGGAGGGCCTTTAAGGCTGGTTTTCACTATTGATGGAGTCGGAGTCCGAGTAAGTGGAATCATAGGAGCACTTATGATCTGGTAAAAATGAAATATTGGAGTCATAAGTGCAACAAAGATCAGAGTGTTTCCATTTCTTCCAACTTTGCTTATATGGCTCTCTCTGTTGCTTCTGTTCCGTTTATGATCTAGGGAAAACCAGATTGTCGGAGTCCGAAGCAGAAGTGGAAGAACTAAATCAATAACAAAGTGTGGGAACGTGCATTGTGATTGGTTTGTCCTTCTACTTCTCCTTTCGACTCCGACAACCTGGTTTTCACTAGATCATAAGTGGAATGTAAGCAACTGAGTTGTAAGCGGAATCGGAACACTGTTTTCACTAGATCATAAGCTCCATGCTTCTGATTATGGCTCCAACTCTGACTCCATCATCAATGAAAACCAGCCTTTATGATTTTTTCTGACGGGGGAATAATGGGGTGGGCCTATACCTGACAACTCACACATGTATATGGTCATAATTTTTATGTTTGTCATAATTAATAAGCCCTCTTAAGACCCCATTGTAACTTCAACTCTGTCACTCGTGAAGTCCTACTTTAAAGTTATTTTCTTCCCATATTCTCTTTTCTGTGAAACTCACAAAACTGTGAACACCAGAAATTATTCATGGAATGTTATTGTGTTGCGAAAAGAAAGCCAATAAGGCGTGAGAAACCTAAACCGCAAATATGAAGCAACAGTGGTTAGTTGTGGTTTTGTGGTTTGCTCACATGTCCTGAGCTTTATTGTGATTGGTCACTACACAATCAGCATTCCAGAAATTTTTCAGCCATTCACGGTTTTCTGACGTGGACAGTAAGTGAACCTGTATTAAGTAGAAACTTTAAATTTTAAAGTGGAATCTAATGCCATGTGCTTTCCCTTGCCCACACACAAAAGATAAGTGCAGATTTTAAACAATAATTATTGTAGGATGATGCTTTTGTGATATTTGGAGTAAGCAAGGTTGAGGTGCAGCTGTAAGTGGTTGACCCAGCCTGTGAGAGCAGGCTTCCTTTTCAGTTATAATCTCACCCCCTGAAAAAGGTGTGTGCTCTTGCAGGCTACTGAAGAGATATCCCTAAAACAGATTCCATAGTAATTGCTCTTGAGAATCATACAGATTAGTCAGTTATCTGCTAGCGGATGAATAGCTAATTTGCAGGTTTGCTCTGATGTCCAAAATTAACTTTAGCATGTTAGCCAATGAGGAGACAGAGAGTGAGTAAAATGACAGACATGAAATATTGTAACTTTGCTTGCAGTTTTGTTCATTTACCGGCTGCTTAAGGCAAACCATGACCGAGAGAAGGCCAAGCAAGAAAAGAAAAAGATGAAGCAAGAAAAGAAGAAACAATGACATAGATTGATGTGAACTCTTATCAATAATAGGAAATAACAAATTTTATGGACAATGTTATTGGTTTTCAACACTCACAGTCTATAAACTTGCTTTTCAACACCACAGTACATGAAATCATCAAGAAACAAATTATTCTGGAATGCATTCCTGTTTCCATGGAGACTAATCAACTCAAGGCATCTGGAACTTGAAGCTAGTGAACATTCCTTGGAGTACTGCAAACTAATACAGTGTTCTCAGAGGACACAGAAAAATGATATTTAAATTATTTAGAAATGAGCTTGTTGGAATTCTTCCTCTGGTAACATAATTATATAATTTCTCCATTCAGTTTCCAGCTCTTACCTCCCCCCCCCCAAAAAAGTGTTTCTTTAAATTTTATTGTGTGCAAATAAAGAGTGAGAGGGATTATAATATTTTGGAAATTGCTTTTCTATTTTCAAAAAGGGGTAAAACATGTTGATATGCCTCTTGATGTTTTATTTAAGTGCTGTTCCTTTGGATCAGTGTACTTGAAATTGTTTGAGATGCAATAACACAATTTGAAAAAGTTGGCATAATTCTCAAAAGCTGCAGTTCTTTTTCCTAGTCTTCCACTATGCCAAAAGATAACCTTAATGTCCACCAAAATCTCACCAGGGTAAGCAAGTGCTTGCCTAAAACAAAAAAAAAACTCTTTGGGGGGATCTGGGTCTTTTTATCTGTCTCATTAACTTGGAAATTTCACAAGTTTCCTTGTCAATTTCCAGTTCTGTTCTAGTGTTTGACACAAAATGGATATTAGATCAAATAAAACCAAGCCACCAACAGGTCATGATGGGTGCAGTAATATTAAATCAAGGATGAAGGAGAGCTTTTACATGTATGTAAAAGCTCTCCTTGCGAAAAGAGTTCAACTCCCACAGGATTTGCTTGGTGAACACAGATATGGCTGCCATGACTTGTTACAAAATGCTCTCTCACAGACAAAGACTGAAATAAATTCCCACCTTTTAAAACTTTGTTATCTCAAGGTCCAAGGGTGTGCACAAATAAAGGGATATAGCGGTGAGTGAGAGGACAAGGAAAAGGGAAAAGAAGAGAGAAATAAGCCAAGTAAATTGAAAACTGGATACCAACCTTTTGTTCACATTTATTTGTTTTCAAAATGGTATTTTGTCGTTTTCCCACAAGTACTGAAAACAAGTAGTGATATCAATGAAATTCAAACTCCTTTCCTTATAAAAGGGACTAAGTCATGGTACTTTTCTTTGTGCTTTTTCTTTTTTTTTTTTTTAATAATAACTAAGCAATTAAACCAAAAGCCTTACTGACATGGCCAATCCACAGCTTATAACCAACAAAGATAAACTCAAAAGTGTTTTGAGTATTTCAAGTATCTGGGCAATTAAAATGGGCTCTTTGCAGAATACAGTCACATGGTACAACACACACCTTGCGGGATATATTGCAAACAATGCAGTAGCATTTAAAAAGCTGATATCTTTTCTTTCAAGGTCCCTCTGCGTCGTTTGCCGTCCAGCAATGAAGGTGTGTTTTGTACGATGTGACCATATTTTGATCACCAGTTTTGGTAACCCACGTCCCCCTGATTGAGATGGTACCCCTTATTTTTTCATGTGAATGCTGATTTTGAGAACTAGAGAGAGCAAAATGTCCATGGGTTATGTTGTTATGTTGCTGCCGTGTATCCACAACCAAATCACCTTGCAACTATTTACCACAGCCAACTTGTACACTTAAATGAATATAGGATATTTTGATCTTGGTGATCAACCTCAAAAGCCATATGTAAATTGGGGAATGTCTGCATGTCTTTAGCTTGTCTTCTAGAGGGGGTCTTCAATTGCAAGTACTTACGCTCAAATTCCTTGACCAAACCCCTTTGAGGTTATGACATTCTTTATATTATTAGAACTCAACTAAGGCAGTTGCATTCATGCTATCCACTCTAAGGAAGGCCATTAATTTACATGATGCTATAAACTAGCTACAAGAAGCAGGTTCATTCACATTTTGTTCTTCTTTACTGGTCCGATAACTTAATTAAAACACACTGGGTTTAATTTGACTCGAAGAGCAATATGCAAAATAAGCTCTGTAAAATAACGTAGCAAAATGATATCATCATAAAAATGTAATTGATTGAATTAAATTGCTAGGGAAAGCTTTTCAATTTAGGTCTTGGCACAAACGCTAAAAACAAGATATACTATCTAAAGGTAACATAACAGTCTCCAGACAATACATTACAGCTCTCTCTAATATAAAAATTCAAGATCCTTGGAGAGAGTAAAGGAACAAAATGTACGACACTTTGAATAATTATTATTCCATAACATGTTTATTAAACTAAAAATTACTTTTATGGAACATTGACTGGAAAGACAAAAGAAACATCCTGTCAACAAAACTGCGGGCCCTTCTTTGTAAAACTAAGACCTTTTTCAACACCAGTCTTGGAATAATAGACATGGCTGTGAAAAACGTATTTCAATTTTCCCCTTATATTGTGAGGATGATCATTCATTCTACAAGCGTTACCTAGACAACAAGTGCTTATGTCCTATGGGATAGTCACCAACACAGATCTATAGAAGCCATAAAATTGGCCATAATCTTAGAATGTCATTGCACACTCAAAGAATTTTAGATTTTATGCCAATTCTTCCCTCATGTTCAATGTTAAAAATTATTTGTCTTTGTAATCAACACTTCAAAGCAGGCAATTATTTTGTTGACAACATTAAACATTACGCGCAGTAAGCTTTACAATGTCAATGCCTTTTGAATAATGCATGCTTTTCTGTATGCAACCTTTATTGCTATCATAAAAGTTTGTGCACTGAGCACAAAAACGAAATTGACACTGTTTCTGCCACCTTAGTATTTTTTCATTTTTTTTTGGGGGGGGGGGAGGGGGAAAAGGAAAAATTGACATGATGCATACTGTACAATCTGAGACAAACAACAAAATACTACCTTATAGTCAGTAAAAAGTGTCAAGACTAATTTTGAAACCATGAAATAAAAATATCCCTTGGTCCAAGCTGATTTCAAAAATATACAGTTAATGTTCACAAAAAAGATAAAGAACTGCATCAGCATGGCTTAGAAGATTCATTCCATGGAAAATATTTTAATCCCAAAATTTCACTGCCCTTTGGACAGTTAATGAAATATTTATACAGCATAAAAATACAGAATACTTATTGGCTGAGTAGGTGTGATCAGGTTCTTAAACGAACATTATGTTCATGGTTGCAATTCCTCCAGGAAGTATAAATATGGCAACTAATGACTTTCGCCAAATACTGACATGTAGCGTATAAAAAAACTGTAGCATTAATGTACATAAATCCCATAAGAATGGTATTTTCAATACTTAAATACTGTTTTCCTATTTTTTGGTTTTATTTCATCCTTTTGTGTTATGGTTTACAGTTTTGATTCTTTGCAGTCTTGACTGCCTCAAACAGTTCCTTCACTTCTGCCATGCTTTCAAACAATAATCGGACAAATCTCTCAGAGTTTGTCTGTTCTGACGAAATCTTGGAAGAAATATGGAAGAAAACCTTGTGGTCATCAGGAACCATGTAAGAAATTCCATAGCCATCATCAGCCACAGGTCCAAACCCACCACCAGGCGAAATCTGTGTGCAGACCAGAAAAATGTTAAAAATTAAAATCAAATATCTCAAGTCACAATGCTCTTCTTTGAAGTGTTCTTTGAATTACCAAAAAAATAATATTCAGCCCTTGCATTAGGGGGAAGTTTTTCAGAAGATATACAATTGCTATAAATATTATAACTGTGAACCAAAGCATTTTGCTACCAAATATAATAATATTGACGTGGTTCTTGAAGTAAGACAGATATTCCATATTGGTCAGAGAGATTTGGTGGATTGACGTTTTACAAAATAACAGTACCATAGTTAAAAACACCTCCCCTATAATGTTGTTAGGAATGAAATCCTGTATGTATGTGAACATTCAATTCATCAATGTGTCTCACAATAATTCATTGTTTCTGCATGGGATCTTTACTTGGGGACATGCCCATCAGCTGTTGGCCAATTCTTCCCAACCCAAGTAACAGTCCCAGAAGTCTTAATTTGTAAAGGTTAATTTGGGGCAGTTTCTTTCTGATTTCCAAAGTGGTGAATGAAATCATTCTCTGAAGCACAACATAATCACTGTATATTCACATAACTATCATTGGTGCTTCAATACTAGCAAAAGAACCTTACCAAATGTGCAAGTTCTGGCTCGTTTACACTAAAGTGCTGCCCAGACATTTGCTGTTGAGGTTGTTGACTTGTTGACAGAGTCCATGGCAAGCTCAAGGCACTCTTGAGAAATTCACTTTCCTTGAAAAGCAAAACAAAAATGGTTGAATGGCTAATTTCCCCTTTTATTTATTTATGTATATCGTTAACTGAGTTGGTGAAGTGGTGAAAGATATATTCTGTTTTTAAAACAGGAACTGAACACTTCCTTTCCTTGTCAAGTACTTTAATAGTAATAGCATACTGAAAAAGCATAAATTACACTCCGGTGCAGTCAACTCTTGCCTTGTGGATAATGGACATGCCAATAATACAGCCCAGGAAAAAATAAACTTCACATGTTTGACTGAGGTAAACTCTTGCCATTACAGACTCTCGCTGTTAAAGACACTAACTCGAGGTCCCTGGACTGTTCGCTATAAAGAGAGTTGACTGTATTAATGACAATACAGTGGAAGATTTTAGGAAGGGCCTGAAGGCCAGGGTGCTCACCTTACTTTTTTGGCCAAACTAAAGTCTGTTGAGCTGAGAGAGATTCTTTTCAAGGCCAGGCCCCCTTTAATATCTTAGGGTCTACATAAGTGGCCCCCCCACTTACTTGAAGATCTCAATCTGACACTACATTATTTAAAAAAAAAACATTTTGCTGTATTGTAAGTTACATCTGTTTGTTGAAGTCATGACACATCTAGAGGTTTTGCATTATTTCTCTTTTGCTGTGTTTGGTTTAATTGGCTCCATGTTAGGCAGTCTTTTTTAATGATAGTATTAAAGCAGGCAGGGGTTGGGAGTTGGATGAACTTGTTTTATTTGTAATAGTTTTGTACTTTATGGTATATGTTGCAGTTAATTTTTAATTTCAGTTAATTTTTGTTTTTCCTTTGTTTTAAATTCATTAGCATACATTACCATACCCCAAAACAATGGAAAAACAAAAATTAACTGAAATAAAAAATTAACTACAACATATATTTGACTTTATTTCTAAAAACCTTACTGTTACAGGGTGGGTATTTCATTTTTTTTTATCTTGCGCTTTATAATTATCATAGTTCTTTTTGATATTCATTGTTTTTAGATGGTGATCTTTCTTGTATGGGGTGTCTACTCTTTTTCACATTATCCCTTGCCATTATTGTTTGTTGATTTATTCGTTTAATTTTGATTTGTAATTTGTGCAATTGAAGTGTAATTAACTGAGCTAATTACGCAAATTGGCTACCACAGGCAGGATGAGAAGCTGTTTCAAGCACTAACCCTTTGTCATGGAGAGAATCTGTCAGACCATTTATGCCAGCTTTTCTCAATTTCTCTACAGCGGTCAATTTTATATGAAAGGATATTGATAAAACCAATTTTCATTTTTACTCCCCCAGTAACATAATGCCACATTTTCCGTTAAAGACACTAGCTGTTAAAGGATTCCTGACAGATACTATCTCTAAAATGACTAACCTATGTCTCAAGCGGAAATAGTCACGAAACAGAAAAATGATTGTTTATACAATGTATAACGTTCAATGGCGTGATGGCACAGACACTACCCCTTCATCTCCAATATCATACAATGTATTGTGCCAAATGTATTAATTTTAAGAGATGTAGTGGTAATGCATAGCTGCAAGATAAAAAATCTTCAAAGTCATAACACTTACATAACCTTGGCCCTTGCAAACCACATAGAGTGCAAAGAGATGCCTATCAATTCCCTTGCCATTCATACAGTCCTTGTACTTTTTAGCATGAACCTCAGCAGCTTTGAGGAGCAGCTTATATTTCTTGTCCACAGGAACTGCTGGATCCACAAATGCCAAAACAAACTCTTTGGCTTCTATTGTGTTGCTGCGCACTGTTTCAGTCCTTCCTTGGAGGTAGAGACGTGTCATAGAGGCCTCGTAAGTAAGGGCATGTCTTCCACCAGAATCTTTGTAGTATGCCACTTGTAGGGCCAACTGGATAAATGCATCAGGGCTTATCTGTTATAAATAAAACACAGTAAACAAAAGTTATTAATAAATGGGTAGTGTTAGTTAGTGTTGTTGGTATTTCCAGGTTGAGGATGCAATCGTAAGGTATACATTATTTTACCAACTGCTTTTGGTTGCTAAAGAATAATAGAGAACTGAAAGCCATAAAAATGTACTATGAAAGGAACTGTTTGAAACATTGGCATAGTCAGGGGTTTCAATTAGCACTGACGACCGAGGAAATGTGCTCAGAGAAGTTGGCTTCTTTTCACGAAAGAAGAAGCAAGTAGTTTTTTTAATATTGTAAACAAAAAATATATGGTCATAAAATCTGAATGAAACGCAATTATGATGTATTTTCGTAAGGGCCCACTGGTTTTATAATATGACGCTGTATTTCAATCCACAATTTTTCACATGCTTCTTTATAGGTTTACACAGAATTTGTTCATGGCTGGTAAAACTTAAATGAAAGCAACATTTTCCTTACTGAAAAACACACTCTTTTCAGTACTCCAGAACACTGGAAATCGCATTGTAGGGCTTTGAAATTTCAAAATTTTCTGGAGGAGTATGCCCCCAGACCCCTCCTGCTCCCCTAAGAGAAAGGGGACTAACAGCTTCTTGTTCATACAGTTGGTTACCACTATTTTTAAACCTACTGGCTGCTTCAATTGTTTTTGAAACCCCCGCATAGTTATTATTAATCTTGACTTGTTTGTAACCTCAATATCTTACAACCAACCCAAATTTCAAGAGGAAACACAACCTACTAGAAAACTGACCTTCATTTGCTTAATAAATCCTTTTCCAAAGGCTTCATGGACTATCACATTATGCTGAATGTCAGCATTATTCTGGAAGAGACAAATCAAGAGTTCATCGAAAATTATCTAATCCTACACTAGACCGGATAACTTTTGTGCCGGCAGGAAAATTGTACCGGATAGGACTTCTGTTCACACATAAGAACAGTGATTTTGGCACAATTTCTGTGATGGAGCAGAGCTGCCCAGTGTTGATCTTGAAAATAAGGCATATTTCTGCCATATTTTGGTACAGTGTGAACACCTATATGGTCATGGACTGTCGTGGGAGTGAATAAGTAAGGATCGAGTGGGATTTAGTGCACCAAAACCTTCTTGCCAGCCACTCCGGTAACATTTTCAACGTGTGCGAATGACTTGTGCCGTGCCCGGGCCACTGATGTTCATAATGTACTGGACTGCATTTTTTGTTGGCAAGAAGAGATGTTACCTTAGAGCACAGTCTTGGAAAAGTTCTTTTTTTCTGAAGATAGTTTGAACTTCACAGGGGTTTGGCAAAATGTTTACCTTTTGTGCAACCCTGACAGCATTTTCAATAATCCCTGCTAGTTTAGGACTTATATCCCAGTACAGCCTTGCTGGTTTCTGAAGGTTATGGGTCCTCATAGTAGCACTCCTGTGAGCCCCACCAATAGGGGCACATTTACCCCGGTCATCATATGTTCTATAAACGTACCTAAAGAGCCAGACAAGATATCAAATGTCAACATTAATAAGTATATTACCTATGCAATTGGAAAGCCCTCCCACCTCCCTGCCAAAAAAAAACATGTAAGTACTTACAGTAAACTAAGTGCCCTCCTAAACAATAAAAATCATTGCAAAATCAATAAATAACCTTCACATCTTGAATTCAAACAAAACCTCTCACACAAATGCCCTTCCTGAAATTCTTCCTTGTTCATAGACGAATCTAACAAGAGACCTACATCAACACTGTACTTACAGTGATCTTAGTGAACTTATAAACCACACAAATCAGTGCAACAGTCAACAAATAAGCAATTAGCAAAAGCAATTGAGCAAAAGTCTTTGAACTATAAGAGGTCTCCACCCTCTACTCATTATAAACCAAAAGCACATCTTTATCTTCCCTGTAAAACTTACTCATAAGTTAAGGCATATTCAACCATGTGACCGATAACAGGAGCATCAGCCCACGAGTGCTCAGCATTGATTCCACATTTCCCATCAGAAAATACCACCAAACAGAAACTTTTGTCAAACCAGAAGCTTCGGCCATCACCATGAAGAAGATATTTAGCTCGGTCACTTAACTCACTGAATGACTTCTCTTCCAAAATCACCTTTTTAGAGAAAAGAGGTAAATGATTCGGTTAACCCTTGAACTTCCCATTACCTGACTGTTACAGCAAGGCTATCCTAAGAATAGTTTAAGATAATCACTTGACAACATCACACTAGAAATTAAATTAGAAGACTTACCACAAACAATGCTTCCTCTATGGCCTCACGAGCCTGCAGATTTAGACCATCTGAGAAATGTTCTTTTCTGATTTTGGCCCATTCTGATCTAGGTAATGTCGTTAGAGCTGCCACACTTCCTTCAGGTTGATCTGAGGTCACTATTATAACATTCACACAAAAATTAGTTCAAAACTTCTTCCAAGAGACTTGGACAACAAATAGAAATACTAGAGAAGTAGGCAGCCAGAATTTCACACAAGAGGACAACACAGACATTATTAATTTTATTATTTTGAAATTTAATTTCAGAATTATAATACAGTCAAACCTACACGTGCGACCACCTTCCATAAACTACCACTACCACTACCACTACCACCACCACTACCACTACCAAGTTGGCCACAGCCAAGCCTTGAGAAGAATTATTCAAAACTCTTCAAGTTAAGAACAGAATTCACCAGCCATATAGCAAAATTCACTAGCCCCAGGCTATCGCACACCACTTTCATTGCACACTGCTTAAAAATGTACATGTGTGATCTGCAAGAGAGAATTGACCGCAATCTTCTTTTCAGACTCATTTACTGATTACTTAAAAATACGATTAAGTGACTTCTTACCATCGCCATGTTTAGCATCTGCTTCGATCCACTCAAACTGGCCCTCCAGATCCAACACTGATATAAACTTGCCTCTGCTGTTAGTAACTGGCAACATATAAAAGCTTCCTCCACAAAACACAGCTATGTGCTATATAGAGAAGAGAAGCAGGGAACCTTACATTGTAGCTTTAATTTATGAACATGACAACAGAGGTTTGCATTCTCCTCATTCAGCCAGCTAAGGCACTACTAACTTACACTCTCTGTAATAATATTTTTTCACTCAACAAGACAAGTTTTTATCAATTTTGCATGCTCCTATTTTAGGGGCTTTTAAAGGAGAGCTGTCAGTAGCTGACCAGTGGTCGTTTGTCCAGGTATTTCTCTGTTAATGACACCACATGCTAGCTACTAGACTTAACTGTTCTGTGGGGTAATCAGTGCACCAAGACAAACCTCATTTTCTGTGTGCTCATAATGGACAAGTTCATCCGCATCTTCTTTTGGAATCCTGTGGCAGTAAAAAAGGACGAAACTTATTTCCATTTGCAAGTTGGTGTCATTTTTTTCATTTGAAAATAATGTTACCATGGCTGTTACAGTGATCAAAATTTGGAGAACTTACCTGGTTGTCTTAAAAGTCCTTTCATACTGCCACATGCAGATAGGTATAGTTTTCCTTATCAAGAGTGGCTCCAGCTTCTCTGTTTCAATCTCCTGATAATACTTCAAGAAGAAGTAGCACATGGTTGCAGCTCTGTGTGAAACAACACATTATGATTTAGACTTAGTGTTGATATTCATCTCAAATGCTGTGAACAAGTGTTGCATTGTTGTTGGTGGCATTGGCTCCTGCTTCACCTTTTTTTTCTACTGAAGACGATAAAATGCTTTGCAAAAAATGCCACATCTTGATGCGTGCTGTCATGTTTTCTACGAATGGCCACTGAATGCAGTACTTCACAAAAAACTGAGCCCGTGATTGTTTCATAGAAAATACTGCGCCATATCATCTTGCCCAAACTTACGATTTCATTGCAGAAAAAAGATGCTTGTTACTCTCTCTTATTCTAAAGTTTTAAGTGGAAGTAATCAGAGCACAGCAGTGTTCTCCCTAAATTTTAGCTCAGCAGGTAAGGGACCATTCATGGACGGTAAGGCAAAAAATATATACTTTTCTAAGAGGGGGGAGGGGGGACAGTGGAGTGAGGGACATGGACCCACCTTCACTGGGAAATTTTTTATTCCCATATTTTAAGACCTATTTTACGCAAATCTGCTGTCGTTATCGTTAGGAAACAAATTAAAACGTTTGATTCCAATAATTTTACTATGTCTCCAAACTGCATGTCCCTAAAAAGGAAAGCTGCATATACAGTGCTAGTACAGAACCAAAATTATGCGCGCGCAAGAACATGCAAGCCACCGCAAGAAGTGAAAGTGCCGTATTTTTGAGGACCCTTTGTGGTTTACCCGCAAGAACTTTGAAACGAAAGAAGTCAAAAATCTTCACCGCAAGAAGCTAGAAAATTACCGCAAGCCTCAAGAAGGCGCATGAAGTTCTTTATAAGTGTTAACCTGAAAGAAGTTTGTAGTGTTTGTTGCCTTTTTGTGACAACACCGTTTTGTAGCGTTGATACTAATTCACTCTGTGGCAGCAAAAGGTAATCATGAAAGTACACACGTAAAAAGTTGCCTGGGAAAGCGAACAGCTTTCTCTGCTTTTTGTGCAAAGTGAACACTTCAATCGTTTAGCTTTTCCAAAGTTAGATAAAGCGTGTGAGGCGTTTGTTTAACAAAACGATCTGTAGTTTCGAACATTTCGATTATTTGGATCATTTCATAGTACAATACCATAATCTCGGCAAAACAAACTAAAGGCGTTGAATTTCTGCCCACAAGAAAACATGGGAATTATTATTACTTTATTGCGCTAAGTTGAAAGAGCCTTTAGTGAAAATATTCCTTACTTTACTTTAGCATGTTTTTTTTTTCCGAGAGCGCTTTAAGTTGACACAGTTGCAGGTGCGGTCTCAAATTACACGGCTCTTTTGTGAAACATACTACGATTGTTCCTTATTTTTTGAAGCGCTGCTTTTTTTTAAATCAAAATTGTACACATTTTCTTGCTTAAAAGGTTACCTTTGCACAAGATAATTTTAAGAAATTCTTGTGGTTAAATTTACAACCGCAAAAGAAGTTCTTGCGTCTTGCTGGATTCAAGCGCAAGCACCCTGCAAAAAGCCGCACGAAGTTGCCAGCTTGCGGACGCAAAAAGAAGTTCCTGAACGTGCATTACTTTGGGCTGTACGTTTTGTACTTAGGTAGGTATTCTTTTCCACATATTCATTCATTTTCTTGTGAGGATCGGATCGGATCACAACTCGCATTTTTTTTTTTTTAATTATTTTATTTTGGTAAACCTTTAAGCAGTTGCAGGCGGTAAGAAGTGTTGCTTCAGGCGGTAAATTTTACCGGTTACCGCCTGATAAGGAGAACACTGGCACAGGGAAAATGTATAAAATCATATTAAGAATTTTTGAAAAGATTTTGTAGCAAAAGCAAAACAGCAAAACCTGACACTTGTCCAAAGGGCAACTTTTGAAGTTATCTTAATTGTCCATATGAGATTGTAGTTGTCTGGGACGACCAGATGACTGGGAATATGGATCCCTGAATCAGGACTTGTTAACTTAAATTCAAGCTGCCTTGTCCTTTCGGAAAGCAGCTGATCTCACACTCTGATTGCCTGAGGCCACATCTTGTTCATCTTAGCTAATGATTTTGTACTTTGTACTAATGATCTTGCCTAGCTGGACCTTTGCTCATTGGGCAAGTAAGCTTGAAAAGTTAAGCGAGGAAAACAATTGTCCTGTATTACTGGACCAACAATTTTTCAAGCCCTGTTAATTTTCATCCACTAGCCACAGTGCTAGTAAGTTCTTATATCTCACAGCCAACTGACATTTGAACAAACATTTTGTGGGAAATACTAATTTTTATATAAAGCGGGATAATGATCAAAATAGAACTGTCTTTAACCTGACACAAATGATTGACAGAGTCATCATGATCAGCATTCAAAGAAAGTAGTGACCAATAGCCTGGGGCTATTAAATCACATTCAGCAGCTTGTGAATTCTCTTCTTACCTTGCCGGATGGCCTTGAAAGTGAAGTTTTTTGGGGAATTCAAATTAAGGAAAAGCCATAATCAATCCTGCTCAAACTTTTTTTTTAGGGTAGTTGAAATGACTTTTGCACTAGTATTATACTAGGCAAGAATGACAAGTTGTAAAACTAACTTTCTTTGCATTCTGATCATGCCAAGTTTAGAAAACCTGGAAAAAGACAACACAAACATCTAGTATAGAAGTACAGTATGGGCTACAGAAACACATAAGCTGATCACCAGGAAAAAGAAGAAAACAGTAGATGCTTTTTTGTACCTTGATGCTTGATTCAAAGTTGGATGCCAGTTTTGATCAAGACAGTAGTAGTTACTGTTGTTAGGCAGAGGTAACCGACCCATGCAATACACATATTTTTCCCACCAATCTGTGTGATAGTTTGGTGCCCACCAAGACTTCAGCTTCAAGATAAACTGAAGCTTTGGGCCAAGGTTCCTTTCAAAGTCCTATAACACAAACAAGTGGGAAAAGAGGTCTTTTTAGTCTTGTGATTTACAGCTATCAAATAGGGTAATGTTCAGTGTAAATTTGAGGAGGATTATTGTCCCTCTACAACCAAACTAGAGAGTTAGAAAAATTCAGTTATTATTTTGACAGCTACAAAAATACTGAACTCAAAGCCCTCCAGAATATATACACAAGAAAAAATAGAGTGAAACAAAGACATAACTGAAGCCAATATTAAGCTATTGTCATCCTGACCTTAGCAAGTGCTTCCATTTTTTGATACTCTTCATCATCCAAAACTGGTTTGACAGAACGTAGCAGTTCTTTACATGTGTCACTCAGACTTGGAACAGACATTCTTGGAAGACTGTTTTGATAACTGTATAGCTTTGGACGTTGACCAGAGCAAAGCTTCACCATCAATCCCCACAACAATGTCAACTTGCTTTGTGATCGTGGGGGCTCGTCTGTAACACAATACATTCAATTCAAGTTAAAAATTAGACATGAAACATACTGACAATAAAGTGAAGAAGAGTTCCCCTAAAAGTCTGTCGGCTGACTGTTGGTATACTGTCAGCCAACTGTATACCAACAGTTGTCCAACAGAAAACCAACACTGAAAAAAAAAAAAAAGAAGTGTTCTGATATTGACACTCAACCCTTACCGTAAATTCTGTTAGAATTAGTCGCTTTAATAATGACTGATAATGCTCTTCATAAACTTTAACTATGAAATCGCCCTATAATGCATTGCGGTTCGATAAAGCCAGTGTTAGTGCATCATATATGTACTCTCAATTATCTCAAAAAACCTAAACAAAATGGCAGACTCAAGTTTTGCCACGATAATTGGCCCTGTCGGTCAACAGTCTGCCGACGGCTGACAGTTTTTTTGGGGAGCTGTTCTTCACTATTTCTGACAATACCACAATGATCTCATAGACCTCAGGTCATCTATTTAATTTTAGAAGCCCAAGTGGGGGTGTTTAATAGATGCGCGTAAAAAGAGAGATGTTTTTTCTCATAACTGTGACAAACATCACAAAACTAATAAAAATGCTTTTGGTGAATATATTACAACAGTCAACTCAACTGAAGTGATTCAACTCACTTTGACTCTCAAGATGACTACCAAACAGGTTGTCAAAACGTCATTCATTGTCAACAACCACAGTCCTATTCAGGACTACGTTCACCCACACAATCATGCTCAACCTATACATGTACTTAGTGATAGACAGTTAACTATACAGGTCACCTATGGATATGTCTAGGCCATTAAGAGATTGGCCATATCGTTCTTTTAATGCTCAACTTTGTGTTAGAATCCTTACTCATCAAGGCTGTCACTAAGATTTCAAGTTGTTGGCTAAATACAAGGAGTAGGCTGGGAATCAAACAGCTACTGATTTATTTGGTTCTATGTTTCCTCTTTTTTCCTGTGAAAGTAGCTGGAATCATGTTTAAAGTAACTGGGGGAAATCCAGGGTCCCTGGCTCTAAATGATAGTCCTTATACACATAAATCACTTTGAACTTGAGATTGAATAAGATTCAACAATCATTAAAACTGAATTGACACTGAATAGGCACAAACTCTGATGAAATAAATCTAGATACTTCTTTAAATCATAGCCAAGGGTAAACCCTTATTAATCAAGCATGAAACTGAATAAATTGGAAGATTGTGCTCTACTGTGTGGTTTTAGAAATATCCAGATCCACCCCCACTCCCTTGATGTTTCATTTTTTTACGGAACTGATGACCTCCAACCCCTCCTTAAATTCCACAATTGCCACAAAGACCCCCTAACCCCTCTGGAAAAGTTCATCACAACATAAAAACACACCACACCACAACAAAGTAACCTAATCTGCAAACTTTTACTTATCCCTTACTTAAATGAAACAGGTAAAGTATATAATGTTGTTTCTGTGAATTTCCCACAAAATTAAGGGAAAGTGAAAAGGACCAAAAAAAAAACAGTAGATTCTGAAATGGTTACATTGTATACCATTTTCTTCCTGAAGAGAAATTGCGACTAGCATTATATATACTGTTCCTGATAGTAACTTAAAAAACGAAATTGGAATCTTTTTTTTCTTTGGGGGAGTGGGAGAACTTCTTACCTGTACGTTAGCCACTATTGGGAGCGTGGGGTTGAAAGAGATAATAGAAAGAGATAAAAGACAAATAATTCAAACTAGCCTGTGTCCTAGACAAAATTTAAAACTGGTTAGTAAAATCTGTTTAGCAGCACCAATATCCTTGTTCTGGGTTCCCTGCGGACTCAATGAGTTACCAGAAATGCATTTCAAATTTCTCATCAATATGATTGGAAAATTAACAAATGCATTTTTAACAGGCAAATCATAGCACACTTGTACTTAAATCCAGGTAAACAGGTGGGAACCCACAACAAGGAACGGATTTTGGGACTGTTTTGCAGACATACTCAACCACAAGTTTAATTTAGTCTGTGGTGAGGCTACATTCAACCTTTCACTGTTAAAAGTAAATTAACTGAAAATACTGCAAAGAAGGCTTTAACTTACACATCCATCCTCTGTAAGCTAAGAGCATCCTTAGTGTATATTGCCGCAAATAAAGAAGTACAATGAAGAACACTATTCCAGCCAAAGTTGATATGAAAGCAAGCCTGAAGTTATAAGGGTAAGCCTCATCCAAATAAATCAAATATGTCAGTTTCCACAAGACTGTTGCAAATGGTTGGAGAGAAGACAGTTTATAGTTATCTGTTGCATAAATCATGGCACCAATAACCACTACAACACCTAACAAGTTTGACCAGGTTGTTGGCCACAAGCCATTAGCAATCTGTTGACTAGAAAATGGAAGAGAACAAGAAAAAGATTTACTGTTGTTGTTGTTGATGTTATTATTACTACTACTATGTCTGTAACTACACCTACACAGCTACTACTACTACTACTACTACTACTACTACTACTACTACTACTACTACTTCTATTACTACTTCTATTACTAATACTATTATCTTAACAAAATCACAAGAAATTAAGAACGTGTTTCACCTAAAATTTGAAAAAGATACAGTGTACATACTTTTTAAATTCAAGTACATATTGTATATTATGTCCTGAAGGAGAACTTCACAATAACTTGTGTGAACAAATGAATAAATAAATAAATAAATAGGGAGCAGAGAAAACACCACTTTACCAGGGGCGGACAGAGGATTCTGTGATAGAATGGGCCTAGAGATATAGTATACAGTGGCAATATGGGCGCAATAGCGCCCATCAGGACTGCAAACAGCACACTTTTCTAGGGAGTTTCGGGTGCATGCTCCTCTGGGAAAATTTTTGAGATTGAAGTTCTCTGAGATGCAATCTAGTGCATTCTGGACACTTAAATTTAGTAAATACCTGGATTCCATATTGAACATGTAATGCTGAAATATTTAATAAACCACCGGTGTGGTTGTGGTCAAAGAAGTAATTAACACTTTATGATGTTAGCAGGGGCCGAAGAGATTGTGGTGAGAGCACAACCTCCTGGCAAAAACAACATTCAATAAATTTTCTAATTACAATGTTTATTAAAGAAAATATTATAGTTAAGTAACAAAGCTCGAGGTACCACCTGACACACGTTTACAACAGAAAAAAAAAATTCAGGACAAAATGGGGGCAGCACCCCTGATACCCTTATTTACCATCAGTGATGCAAGAAATATCAATATCACTAATTTCTCCATGTATAATAGCTTTATTAACTAATTACTGGAAAATTGCTCGATGTAAAAGCAAACAGACCACTTCAATATTTTAAGCAAGCAGTTTTTATGTTGCTTTTCCTTTTCCACGAGGTTTGGGCCACCTCCCCCAACCCGCCGCCCTCACGCCTTCGCTGTGTACATGAGAAATTTATATTGAAGGTACAAAGTTCAGTTCAGAAAAGAACCATCATGACAAATGAAGATAGAAAAGAAGCAAATGGAAAAAACTTCGCCGAGAAAAACCGTTAGACAATTGCTATTAACTTAACCGATACTACATAATTTTCAGAAAAGAAAAGGAGGGAAGGAAAGAAATTAAAAAAATCAAAGTTTGTTCGTCAACGCCGTCATAAGCATACCTTTCATTATTTAAAAGGAAGTTTATGTTCAATTTTACTTTGTTAACTTCAAAGAAATTACCTCATCAACTTTCCGACTGCAAATACTTTTAAAGGGATCTTCTTTCATATTCTAAAGAGGTTTAAAGCGACGAGGATAAAAGGCAAAGAGCCGGATTTCGAATCGTTAACGTCAACTCTAACAACTTTAAGCTTGTCGTGCCTTCACTTAAAGTGTTAAGCGCTGTTCACGGAAATTGACAACATTTTTCAGCGAATGAAAAAAGCTATAAAGACCGAAAAATATTGCTCTCCTCGTACGCACAAGGTTGTGTCAGAGGCGTTTCATTCTAAGTGCCAGATCTGAAAACTTACGCTCACTTACCGAGTTCGGAAAGCACATTTCTTGAGATTTTTGAAGGTGCTTTTGAGTAATTCAACTTCGGCTTCAGTTGTGCTTGTCCCTTCCGCATGAAGACGAACGTCGGGCCTCGTAACAGCCGCTCTGGCTTCAGCCATGATGGCTTAGAAAAAGAGTAAACCTACAAATCCAGGATCGCGTAAAATGTAAACAGGACAAGGAATATTTAGCCGGTTCACTCACAAACTGTAATGCATCGTTCAAGGTTGTTCAAGGCCCGAATCAACAACTTTCGATAATGACCAATCGTAGGCAAGATAAGAAATTAAGTCAAAAGCTTTAATCCAATCACAACTACTGTTAGTTTGCATGTATTGATTGACGTTCGTTTCCATTCCATTTCCCGCCAAATCCTTTCGTGGTTCAAACAACAAGAAGTTCGAGATCGAAGAGGGTTCACCAAAAATGGCTTCTGCGCAAAAGTTTTCCTGTGTTGTGGCAATGTCTAAAAATCGAGGAATTGGCAAAGAGAATCGTCTTCCGTGGCATTTAAAGTAAGTGTGTAAGATTTCTTCGCAGTTCTAGTTCAAAAGAAGTCCGTTTTAACTTGCGTGCAGCAAGGTCGTTCACCACTGTCCACATTTAAAAGCCTCGTTTTGTCCGCGGAGATTTTCTACTTTTATGTAACAAGTCACCAGCGACGGTTCTGATTAATATGAAGTATGAAGCGTTTGTTAAAACTTTACTATAACGAGGTAGTTGATGCTGCAAAAGTGCATGCACGCACGCATGACTGCCTGTCCCGTTTTATGACTTGACCTTTACTTGCCCCATCACACCCCGAACCGTAGTTTGTTATTTTCGATTTCTTTTTTAAAAACTTCATTTGTACTTTGAGTCTTTTGGGTTTTGATCGGGGGTAGAGAACTTTAAACAGTTTAAACTGACAACGAACGTTTTGCATGTTGCTTTAAGTAATGGCCCGTGTAAGAGTCAGAAACAGTCAGAAACGTGACAAAAACAACTTTTTTTAGCTTTATTTTCCCCATTCCCCTGTCTTATACCTCACGGCCAAGTTTCAGCATTGTTCTATGCGCCAATCAAAAGTTAGAGCGGAAAACGTGCAACACACGCGCGACCTTGTTGTGACCCCATCTTAGTGTGACACTTGAGATGTTAGGAAATTTGTCTTTTACCCGAAGAAATCTCGTCAATTTCTTCGTGAAAAATCTGCATTTTTTCTTTATTGAATAGTTATCTCAAATTTACTGTATTTTATCATCGGAGTGATCGTCAAAATGCTCTTAAACATGGTTTGCTGCCGTCCTCGACATGCCGAGTCGCCATGTGGAAATTTGGGCCCGGCGTAGTTGTTTTCGTTGTCAGGCCGGATCAGAAGGAGATCGGAATAATTGTGGCACTAGAAATTAGAGAACAGCTGCGCATAAAAGGAGAAAGCGAAAGATTGGTTGTTTTTACAAGGATGAATTTATTTCTCGAAGAGATGTAGAACACTTGAGCTTGAGGTAAGCTGAATTCAATAGATTTTCGCACCTCCGCGCGCATTATGTGTTATTCATGTGTTTGCCCTTTTCGAAACTTCCATATTCCGTGTAGCTTTACCCATCTCTCATTCGATTTTTTTCTCTCTAGACTGCTTCATCAAGCGAAATGGAAGTTCGCCGTGGACCTTAAGTTAAAATGAGCGAATTGAAATTTGTGACACGTTTGCATTTTGTACCTTTGAGTTCTGAGGCGGAGAATACCGAGACGGAAGCCGCTTAGGTATCATAAATAGCTGTCACTGGTGTTTGAGTTTCTCTTGGTACGGAAGATCTAGCGAGCATGACTGTAGCTTGCCTTTATTTTTTCCAAGGACGAAAGAGATTGTAAGAAGGATTTTTATAGAGTAATATCAAAACCTTGAAAACAGATAAACTGTAGGAGAGCTTTTTCTGAAACCCAATTATCCGAACATGCAGGAATTTTTTCTATCTGGGCAACATCATCTTTTTTTCCAAAAGCAGAACATTTAGATAACATTTAGATTTGATTTTGTGTACGTGTTGTTGTTCTGTATGGTGGCCGAATATGCATTGAACGCGGGACATTGGCGCCTTCGCCAGATTCGCCACGTGAGACTGAATTGCTGCTGTTTACGATCATGGTTTTGACATTTCTTTTGTGAGAGCCGACGTAAATGTTGTTCCCAACGTCGCTGATTGATGTAACACTGTGCTCATCTTCGTGTAATTTCATATCAGTTTAACTTCCTCGGGTTTGGCGCATAGAAATCTTTTAAATTTTAGATATGTTATATTTTTCAACATAACAAAGCAATAGACGAATGAGTCTTAAGCTATCTTAATTCAACTTTAAATATTCAAATTTCGCGCTTTTCGCTGTATTGACCTATCAGAGCATTCAGATTTAATTTGATTAGAGAAATTAGCGCCTGAAAAATAACTGACGCTATATTCTGCCTGCTTCTTAGCTGGACCATTACTTAATACGCTGATTCAGGAAAAAACCAGAAGTTGCATGGAAGCGAGGCCTAAGGGCCCTTCGGCCTTTGCGGCGCCTGGCGGTAAAAACAAATGGTTGTTGAAAAAAGTTTCAAGACCTAGCAAGTAAATATTGAAGTGGTCAAATTGACAACCGAAAAAAGAACGGGAGCTTAAAAATTTGCAGGTTAAAAGTAAACCAGGTAAAATTCTAATAAAAATGTACAAGAATAAACCAAGGCGGTAACAAGAAAGTCCTTTACGATCGAAAGTTAAGTTTAAGGTGAAATAATTTTATAACTTTACAAACCGACCGATAGATACAATAAATTCATTTGTTTCCTGGCCCAGAGAGTCAAGAACCTTAATGTTATGTCTGAAAATAGAGATAAAGGTTATGATCCTGATCCAGGCAAAGGCTTCACCAGGCCCATCTCCAGTGACACTGACCGATACCCTAGGTCACTGTAAGGATTGTGGCAAGATTACTGAAAAAAATCTCTCTCTACGTATGCCATTGGGGAAATGTTGTTCATGATCTTGATCATGAAGTATCTAAACCTGTTGATAACGACGTTGTTTACGTTAGGCCATGGCTTTTTGTTGTTCCTCCTGCAAAAAATATTGTGTCAAATATAAAGCACGTATGATTGTTAACCCAGTTGGAAAACCCAAACTTATGACTAGCCGCGTATGATTTATTATGTCCTGCTGGTAGGAGCGGCTGCAGTTGCCTTGCAGTTGTCTTGGCAGTTAAATGGAAATTGGATGAAATGTCATGGAACAATGAAACGAAAAATCAATGCGAGAATAACGTTCCCAGCACTTCTTAGTCAAGAAAATGGGGAATTCCAGGTAGATGAATAGTGGAACATTAGCGGTCAGTCATGGCCTTAAAGCTACCAGGTCATAAGAGGAAGGGCGTGTTGTCTACTTTTTATGATCCCTGTCGTTTGAAATCGAGAAAGTTAGACCCCTATGCTGTTGAAAAACTCCAAGTGAACATTGTCAGAGTTAACAAAGGTCTTCCCTTTTAAAAGATGAATCCCAATGCTTCTGATATAGTACTTGTGAATTCCCTAATTGAAATTGCTGCTAAAGGATTTGCTCTACAAATGCAAATGAAAGATTTTACTCACATCTGTTTCTTCTACAGACAATAGTACATATACTTCTGTTCTCCAACCAAATCCATGTTTAACAAATACAACAGTGTCTCAAGTCAATTTAACAATCAGAGCCAACAATACACACAGACAATAGTTGATGTGACCACAAATCAATTTCACGATCTCATGTGTCAAAAAAATACAATCTTGTCTCACTGAGCCAATTAAACACAGTCAACAATACAGATACTGTAATTTACCTGAAATTGAACACAAATCATTTAATAGATCAGCCCTTCAGCACGGATCAACAAGGAATTGTTTCAGCAGCAGGTACCTTTTATTATGGCATCATGGAAGGAGAAATTAGTACACCTTTAGAACTTTTTTGACCAATACATTTTACCAGAATAAGCATACCCCATGCTCAAGTTTGGCCTGTGGTATGACCTCAAGTTAAGATAGTTTTTGTAAATCAAGCAAGTCGACTTGGGTTATTGTTAGCACAGGTCTTTTATTCACTCTGATCCTACATGTGAAGAATCCCTTATTGTAATCTGTCATGTCACAACCTGTAACAAATTTAATGATTGCACACTAACTATTAATTGTGTGTGATATTATACCTTATATCCATTTCCTTCCCCCCAAAAGTAAAAATTTGAAAAATATTTTTTCCAGGTGTATTTATTTTTTGGAAAAAGTCGTCAGTATTCACTTAAGTGACATCTCTCACACTGCTATAATACGTTAGACGGGAAACGCTTGGTTCTATAATACTTCCAAAACGTTAAACGTAAAGTAAAGTTTCATAATCTCGAAACCCAGTGTAGACTAAATGAATATCATCTGGGTTTTACAAAACGCGTTCCAGACCAAACGTGAAAACCTACTCCTTCTTCCTTAATCCTTTTTTAAGGATTTCCACTTCTAAACGTTTCGTTTCAACAATTTGTTTGATGGCTGGAAGACCTTTAAATTAACAGCTTGTGCTTTATCACTCAATGACGATTCTTCTGACCTTTTTTTTCTCATGGGATACTTTTCCTTATGTTCCCGTTATTCTTTAACATTTGATTTGGCTGAAGACGAAGCAGAAACAGGAACGGATGCCTCCTGTTTTTAAGTCGACCTTTCTATGTCCGGCGAGACTAATTCTGTAGTCGTTTGGTACGAAATGCAGCTAAATGCTCTGAACAACAATATTCCTTTTTCCCATCTTCTACTTGATTCAAGATCTGATGAAACTTTTTTGGTATATAGGTGAGATCTGGCCGATTTTCACTTCGATTATTTTATGTGGGTGCAGCACTTGTCTTATTTTGCTTACAAGAATCTTTTTGTTACGTCGCCATTTTAAGTGTGAGGGCCCTTTAATAGGCCTCGCTTCCCTGCAACTTCCGGTTTTTTCCTGAATCGGCGTATTGCGATAATTTATTCACAAAACAACTGGGACGTGAGTTGAGGGTGGGTGCGGGGATGAAAAGGGGCGTGAGGCAACGCTCTGAACCCCAGCTGTATATAAAACTCAAACTCTCAAAGGAAAAAGCATTTCAACCAAGCAGAGGTACAAGTGATCGAGCTGAACTTCATGAAAAATTAGATAAGGGGAAGTGTTAAAAAAATTCGTTTAAATTACCACTGACTACGTAAAATTGTATAAATTAATGAGTTTGTGCTGTATTTTGTACATAAACCAATGAGATGTTTTATTAACGCATTTGTTTTCTATTCGTTTCAGGGAAGATATGAAATTTTTTTTTCATCTCACTTCAACTGCAGCTGAGGGTAAACACTTCATGTTCTTATATCCCTTAAGCTTTGTGAAGTATGACCAAATATTTTTCACTTCCACTTGTTATAGTTTCAGTGGAGACATACTAAAAAGGAGGACAGTCAAACCACAGAGGGACCATAGAAAGTGTCCGTATTATTAAACAAGGTGTCCATGTTAAGCAGGTTGAATTTTAAAAAAATGTAGGGCTTTCTTTTGACAGAGACGAAGGAAACTGTCCATTATAATGAAGTGTCCATATTAAGCAGGGTTTGACTGTATAAATATGAAGGTGTAAAATGATGTTGTTAGTTTATAAGAAGATAAACAGTATTAAAAACAAGTACTGTAAATGCAAGGCAGTCCATATAAATGTTATGAACGAGCACATTATATATCCCCTTTAATTCCTCCAGCTTCTTAATTGACCATTCCCATGATCTAAAAACAACCATATAAAATTATGTAACAACTCCCTTTTTTTAAAAAAAATCAAAACATAAAAGGGTTTACTAAATCAATCTGAACACATTACTGGCAACACTGTGCCAAACTATCTACAAAGAAATTCTGTCCTCTCTTAAGGTATTAGATCTGCTATAAACCCTTCCATTTGAAAGATTTATTTCTCCAATGATTAAGAATTTGGCAAAATAAAAGTTAAACAGGCCTATCAAGCGAAAGCTGAGCCTTCAGAAAATAATAGTTGATATCCGAGGTGTCAATTTTCACACCTAAGGTGTTATTTCCGATTTATATCGCAGGCTCAAAAATTCAATAATTCCGTTAATTTCTCGCTTTCTATCGATGGCTAGGAATAGAAAAAAAATTGGAACTGACTTATACTTAGTTTGTTCATTTACCTTTAAATTGACGTCATGTTGAATGGGGTCTTTGGGATTTGTTTATGGCTTGTTGCTAGGCAACTGCGGATACCAAACCGATAGAAAGATTTATGACCAGAGCAAAATTCACAGTTCACTTGCGATCCTCTCATGATCCATGCACTGCGTGCGCGACAAAATTGTAAACTCCTTCGCTCGCGGCCTGTGAGAACAATTTGAGCTTAGATTTGGCCATGGTTAGAAGTTCGGATTGCGGTCTTGCAACAGCTGGACTAAATCTGTGTAAGTGATCGCATTGCAGGTGGAACCAATGTCTAACTGACAAACTAACAGTACTTTCTCATCACCATCTTCCAGAAATGTAATACTGGATGTCATTTGCTTTCCAGGCCCTTCAATTTCAGAAATTTCTCCTATCTTCAGTATGGATTCCTTGGAATCATAATCATCAACTTTAGCTTCTTCTGCAAAATGGACGGTTTCACGGCCATCTTTTGTTGACAAACACACTTTGCTGAATTGATTCATCTTCTTACAAATTCTACATTGCTGACCATATAAGCTGGACAATTGGTGGGCTTTGAATGTCATTTGGCCTGAACACAAAACTTGCATTTCCACGTTTTCTCTGGGCCTTTAGTGGTCTTGTTTGGATTTGAAGGTCTTGGTTTCTTGCTTTTTTAGTTTTACTTTTGTCTTGAATTAGATGAAGCTCTTCATTCGACTGTTTGCTCTCATGCTGAAGCCACTTGATCTGCTTGTTTGTAATCTCACTTGATTTGGACATGTCAAGGGCCTTATCCAAAGATAAATCTTTCTCCTGGAGCAGTCTAACTTTCGTGCCAGTATCTTGTATGCCAATAACTAGCCTATCATGAATCATCTCTTTGGTGAGTTTTCCAAACTGACAAGAGGATGCCAGTTTCCTCAACCTATTGACGTAGCCGTCAACAGTTTCCTCAGGTGTTTGAATACAGGAATTGAACCTTTCGTACACTAGATTTCTTTTAGGAAGAAAATAATCTTCGAGTGCAGACAACGATGATGTGATCATGATTTCTTCAGTGCCAAAATTAAGATTGAGAAAGATCTGGAGACAGTCTTTCCCCATGAGTAAACAAAAGGTCGCTACACGAATCGCTTGACTCTTTTGATCCAATCCTGTTGCCAGTTCGTAATCCTTTGCTATTGTTGCTTAAAAAATTCCCAGTTACTGGTGAGATCTCCTTAGCAAACCATAGCGTTTGGTACTGGAAAATTTGAAGGAACACAAATTATTTGAAGTTACGGCGTCGCCGCTTCTGAGGAAGCTTGACACGAGTTGTTCGGCATTGCACTATGTCGACACTATGCGCACACATGGTCCAGTGAACTAAGCCGCTTAAAATGCTCTCACTAATCAGTATGTCCGCTGTGCATGTCAGGAACAGCTTTGACTGACTGTAAACTGGACTTCTCTTCTAGAGCATATCTAGCTCGTGGTAAAATAAGCAAAATCTTCTGACACCATATTTGGTTAACACAGAACACAAACGTAACCAGATGCCATGCTTTTAATGCCTAGTCCATGTAAGATGCATCCTAGTTTATACAAACTTACAACACCTAAATGTGGTAAAAACAACCATATATGTAACAATTGAGGTACAATAGTATAATCAACATGGAAGAACATGAAGCAGTTTTGTCAACCTCTGCCCCTTTCAGGCAGTTATTAAAACCCTTGTCACAAAAATATATGACAACCCAATCACTATTGTCAAGTTTTTACCATCTCTCCCCCTCCCCCCATCTTTCTCACTTCCAAAATGCAGGACCTGTTCATGTCTCTATTAATTTTGATCAGAAAGTTCTTGATTGAAGTGGAAAGTACCATAAACATTAATGTGTTTAAGCTATAAATACCAGCGGGATCGTTATAAGTTTCTGGGAAACTACCCACCTACCCCTCCCCTATGCCAACGTATATTTTGCCCTAAGTGAGAAGTAAGTGTTAATGTTGGCTTAGGGGAGGGGTAGGTGGGCAGTTTCCCAGAATCGTATCAGGACTGTGCTCTAGCAGAGCCCAGTGGCCCTTGGTGCCCAACTTTTGCCCTTGGGTGACTAGAAAAATCTTAGTTTTTTCATGCAAATCATATGCTGGGCATCCTAGATTTTACAGGTTCAGGGCACTGGGATCCCTTCAATTTTCCTCAGAGCACAGCCTTGCATATAATGACCTGTGTATAATTATCAAAAATATGTTTTAAATGATAAAAATGTTATTTTCCTTTGAAACAGGAAAGGAAAATGCTGTTATCATGGGACGCAACACCTGGGAATCCATTCCAGAAAAGTACAGGCCACTTTCAAAAAGACTCAATATCTTGTTGAGTAGGAAATTGACTCAGAGGTACCCTAGTGCATGGTTTATTAAAATTAACTTAAATAGAGTTTTTAAAAAAAATTGATGACTCAAAATTCTCATGTAACAGGTTCCTTGGTGCATCACATTGGCATCATTAACCACCCCCCTCCGAAACAAATTTCCACGACCAAACATCTCATGGTGAATTTTAAAACCATAACAATATTTTAAAACTGGTGAAACTTTTACTGTTATTAACAAGATAGGGAATTATAGAAAACAATAATGCAATATTTAATAATATACACTTAATGTCAGATCCTGAGGGAAACAGTTAAATTTGTTTTCCCGACAGGACAGGACAGGACTCGAGGGAAAACAAAACTAACTGGTTTCCCGAGGGACCTGACATAAAAGTGTTTTGTTATATTTCTAGACTTTCACTTCAACAGCAACAAAAGAATAACTGGCCAGCAAACCAAAATAGTTGACTCAGTACTAATATAACAACACAAATTTAATTCTTAAAACCAATGGAGGAATGCGTTACAAAGTACTTTCCTCATATTATCTGCATCTTTTTCCTCCACTAGCTGCTGTTTTTCTTCTGGGATGTCTTTAAAAATCGTTTCTTTTCACCTTGCGACTTCATGTTTGTGTTGTTGTGTTCATTCACTTAACTGAAAACTTCAAACTGGCAGTACCTAGTGGCAGTGTTTTTCCCGCCTTCTGTCATGCCACTTTCCACCATGCCTTGATCACGTGCTACAATGTATCACGAGTGGGGTACATTGCTTTATGTATCATGATAAGGATACATTTGATTTTAGTTGAGTGAAAGTCCAGGAATATAACAAAATGTTATTTGATGCAAGCCAGTTGGTGAATTTTACCAATCACTTTTAAAATTAAGAAATGTGAATGAACTACAGTGCAACCTTGATTTAACGATGAGCTAAAGGACTGGGCAAATTTTGTTTGCCATAATGAGATTTTGTTATATCGAGGTTCTGTTCCATTATTTTACAATAACTGGGGCAGAGAACAATGTTTGTTATATCAAGGATTTCATCATAATTATAGAGGTTCATTATATCAACGTTCTACTGTTATGTCTGACACTCCCTTAACGTACTTGAGTACTAGCCAAAATTTCTCCCTGTATCCCCACCAAGGTTTTAGCCAGAAGGGTGTTCAGCCGTCCTATGGACGCCCATTTTTGGAAGAAACACAAGGAAAATTCACCTAATCTCTCATACGTTTACGGGAAAACGTGAATTTTGGACGGCCAGTTTTCAATGTCTGGCTAAAAGCCTGATCCCCACAACCAGTCCCTAAATAAAAAATCCTGAAATCAAGAATTTCACACCCAAAAATATCCTTGTCATATAACTGGCACCATAAATGCAGAGTACCACAGCAACCAATCTGACTTTCAATTTGCTTTAGTCATTCGAATCATAAACCATGCCAGGGGTGTGATGGTTTTTTTTTTATTATAGCATATTGCAGGTCCACCAGCCTGATTATTCAACACCAGCAAATTAACCTAATTGTATTCTAATAGATTTCTAAAGTGATGATGTGATAAAAATTAAATTTTTAAAATTATGGGATTTGTTGGAATATGAAATAACAACATCTGAAAGGCCTATTACTTGCCAAATACATGTACATTGAGGGGCAAATTGTCTTGGAGATACTCAAGTCCCGTTTTTCACTGATGACTTCATACAAATCCTCCTAAATTTGACTCAGTTCCTAATGTTATGAACTGAGTCAAATTTAGAAGGATTTGTAGGGAGTCATTAGAGCATCTGGGCTAATATCTCAAAGACAATTTGCCCTGAAATGCTAATTTTTGGCAAGTGGGCCTCTTTGCATGTTGTTCTTTCATATATAAAAATTCCATAATTTCACTAATTTATTATTGTTTATGACATCATACTTTAGGACTCTATTAAAATTGTAGCCATACGTTTCAGCTTCTGCAAAGAAGAACTGTTATGCCAAAACATTTAGTCACTATGATTTCACAGCTCTATTCATGTATGTTGTCTATAGTGAAGCACCTGAGAAGGTCACTGTCTGTTCCAGTCTGCAAGATGCACTGGATGTGCTTGCAAAGAAAGACAACGTGGATAAAATCTTTGTGATTGGTGGAGCAGCAGTCTACAAGGTATATAAGTGCCATCTGATTAGTTTGATGTAGCCCTTATGCACATTTATGTCAGACCAGCAAATTTCACCAGCAATCCTTGTTTTGAAATTGTAAAGTATTTTGGGAAGTTTTGCATAAATGAATTCCCAAGGCAGTACAGTTGAAAGGAATACCCAGGCACAAAGAATGCACGTGCAAAAAATTTCGCATACAAATAAAGTTTAGTGGTGAAATTTACTAGTCTGATGTAATCATGCGTAAGGGCTATTGGCTTGAGGGCAGGGCTAGGGATTTCAACCCTCTATGAGAAACGTTAGTGGCCCCTAGCTACATTCATCATTAGGAAAATACAATGTTGATGAAAACTGAAGCTAAAAAAAATCCCTAGCTGTTTGATTCACCAGCTACAGGACTGTAGCACGTGACGGCATAAATTAAAAAGAGATTGAAATATGATATTGAATAGCCGCTGTGAATCATTTTCAAAAACTGGAATGTTTTTGTGAGCCTTCCAAAATTAATGTTACCACAAAACATACAGCAAAAAATTGGGGGGCGTAGAAAATGCTGAATAAATGATAAAAGAAACCTCTGAGGGTATCGTTCGTGTTCATAGCAAGATACAAAATGCTACAAACTTGCTAAAGTAAATAACATACCGATCTCATGCTTAATTTCAATAAATATTTCCTTGCCTATGGCCGGCAATCAAACATTTTCTGTTGTTGTTTCAAAAGTGCAGAATGAGCAGGGAATTTTGTTGTTTGTTCAGTAAAATTTAGCGTGAGAATCATAAGTTTAAGGCGTCCGTTCGGGCTCCCTGCTTGAAATTTTGGTCGCCTGTAAATAGTAGGCACCTCTGGCAACCGGGTGCCCTTAGGCAGCAGCCTTGATACATTTACTTCCAGTTAACTTAAACAACCTAAACATCCAATTTAATACACTACAGATATCTTAATTAGGGGGCGGCAGACGACTCGTGAAGTAAATGTATCAGGCGTTCTTTTTTTTCCCCTTTGCCCTGATCGCAGGTTAGCTCAGGGGTTATTGATATCAATATTATAACCTGACTGGGATACAAGTCCTGTTCCATCCCATGTTGCTATGTGTGACTTATAGTGGCTGTGTGGATTTACTGTTCGCAGGATTAGTGGTTTCATAAGCTAGATTTATAAATTAATGGCCCTGACAGAGTTTGAAAAAACTCCCATCTGCAAAGAATAGATTTTCTTGCTAGGCAAGTTACTTTTAAAGCTTCCTTGCCCAAAGGGCAAGGTTCCACAAGTCAACTCATCCTCTAACAAAATCATTAACTAAGACGACCAAGAAGTGGCCCGGGGCAAGCAAAATGAGAGAGCTGCTTGCCTTAAAAGGACAAGCTTGAACTCAAGTATTTTTTTAGCCCGTCCTTAATTATAACTAACCAATAAGTTTAGGGCTTGAACTTTGCTCCTCCAAGGTGGAAGACTATGACCTAAAAAAATCTACAGGTGAGCCTACAGAGAAAGAGGCAAGTTCTGTGGCCCATTAGTGGCTGTACAGTACAGGCCACGGGCATTGCAGCATTACACACGTGTTTCATTGTGTGTAAATCCACCATGTTTCATGCAAATTGCCTGAGAAACACATGCATGAAACACGTACGTGTAAAAAATACACACAAAAATACATGTAAGAAAATACACGCAAATTTTTCTCATGTAAATTTTACACACAGAGGTTGTAACAATTTGCGTATATTCGGTTTACTTGAGTTCTTACATTAAACTGTATATTAAATGAATTCTACTCTACTTCGAGAGGATTATGCCTGATTATTAATTTTTGTAATCATCTTATGCTATTCTCAGGAGGCACTAAAACATCCCAGTTGTTACCGTCTGTACATTACAAAAGTTGACAAAGACTTCGATTGTGATGTGCACTTCCCAGACTATGATGAAACTCTCTTTAAGGAAACAAGGTAAGTCGTGGCTTAATTCTCACTTAAAAAGCAACGAAATTTTTGTAACAGTCAATTCAGGTCAAGTGTGCATGACCATGATTCTGTTAATGAGTTATTGGTTGTCAACATAATTTATATAGTTTGCAGGGCTTTCCCCTTGGAATCTGGGAGACAAGTTTCCAGTTACATCATGTTGCTAACAGTCTAACTTTACCTTGTTGTAACAGGGGAGTTTTTTTGTCCCATACAAACTGCCTTCTACATTTGTAGAACTGCAATGATACACTGATGCATTGTCAAGCCGTAACATTTTCTTCACTCAATATAAGCATCCACATTTGATCAAGATAATGTAAATAATGCTATTATACATTGTACCATAGAGATGGTAGATTGACAAGGTTGAGAAATCACTGTCTTTGATATTCCTTTAATTCTCCATGCGAGTTCCGCATAATATAGCCGCATGTACAGCAATTTATGTCAATTTAAACAAGTGAAAAGCGAACAATCCCTGCTTCGTGCACATAAATAATCGAAATGGGGAACTAGATAGCAAACAAAGGCATGCATATTTATTCAATTAAAGATTGCGGGAATTTTTTATTTTTTTAGCTTTTCTGATGGGATGGTTATTCAAGCACAGCATTAATTTGAAATTCACTTTTCTTAAATCACCGACAACAATTACGATAAATCATAATTTGTAGAATATGTAAAACAGAAACATGTTTAAAGTTTCAGTGTCTTGCCTTTTTTGCTTAGGTAGTAAAGTAATGTCTGTCGAGGGTCAGTGTCTGGATTATATGTAAATTACCAAGTTTTGACGTGCTTTTTTTTCTTATTATCCTCAAATAAACACTGCATTCTTCTTATAGGGTGGCACATTTATTTGAGGGCAGCGTTTATTGGTAATTATTTACTTCCCTCTGCATTTAGTTGAGGGCAGCATGTAATCAAGGAAAAACAGTATTCACTCACTATTCACTGAACAGCTGTACAGTCATGTGTGCATGCAGTGCATCATACAGTGTATCATGTATCACCTCATGGCCCTTGTATATTTCTATCATAATCATATCATTGCACTCTACTTCTGACAGTAACGGATTGTTAATAAACATCACACTTATTTTTGACTTCCTTATAGTGATCCTGAGGTACCAGCTAAAAAGCATGAGGACAATGGTATCGAGTTCACATTTCATGTGTACCAGCGAGTCTGAGCTAGCAGGTTGATGCAGTCATGTACCTTTGATAATTATTTCCTGGCTGCATTGTTAACCATAACTAAAATGCACTACAGTAACTAAATTCAATGTAGTAGTGGTGGCCTATGAAATTTTTGGTATAATGCAAAAAAAAATGTCTCTTGTACTGAGACACAAAATGAGGACGAATCTGGTGCCAAATGGAGTACAGAGTTGAAATAAAAATATTAGTGAAGGACTGACAACCACATGCAATGTACTGGTAACTTACAAAGGTGATACAAGTAAATTTAACTCTCAAGTTAAGAATAAGGTGCCAGTATTAACCTCTGGAATTATTCTGTGAAAAAACAATAAAGAATTAATTTTTGGATAGCCTTTTGCAGACAATTTATTTTATTACTTGAGGTTGCCTAGCACCCAGAGTCATAATCTGCAAGCTGCTTTTCTTCTTTGTAAATTGAGGACACAAAAGGGAGGTTGGGCTCCCAGGCATTCCTAGCGGCGACCATGAAAACTGGGAATAAGAATCGTGACGACTTTCATTACTTGCAAATGAGGCTCGTGATAAGCATCTGGTTTATTTTCGGCGATGACTGAGGTGATGCGCATAGTTGATCACATTCAGGCTTTTTGGCAAATGATGTAATTTTCCCCAAATCAAGGCCCTTGATTTCCATTTATTCATACACGCGTAGTATGGCATTACGTTTCTCAGAATATTGACGCAATTATTGGAACTCTACGATTAAAATAATAGATTCGATATTGCAGATTCACTTTGTTGTATGTATTTAATTGGTAGATTTCAAAGTTGTTAAGACGTGAAGTCGCGTTGCACTTTATAAATACTTGAGATATCAATGGTTCTTAACCTTCAACTACTAGAAGCAACCTCAACTACTCGTCTGACGTTATGTATGTGTCATGGATGTGTTTATAAGGGTAGCTTTGTACTTCACTGTCACGTGCTCTACTTGCAGCACTCCAGCGGCCAGTGGAATTAAACTAGTAGTAGTCTACAAATTAAAGTAGTCTATTTATTTTCGAAGTTCTCTAGTATGGGAAATGTGTATTTCTTTTTCATACTGATGTCTTCATTGATGTTTCCTTAATGTTGTAGCTTAAAGAGGTCTGATCTTTGTCTCGTGGTATTGCCTTTGATTGTGGAATATAGCTTGAAATTACAGCGTTATTGCCTAGACATCATTGGAAATTTTCACTTTAGATTTATAAACTGTAACAATTGAACTATAATCTTTTTCCAGTTTAAGTTTAGTCTGACCATTCTACGTACTGAAAGGCAGTCAGTAGAAGAATAAAGAATTTATCTCGTCCTCATTTCTTATCGAATCTCCACGCAACCTTGAGTTAACACTTCAAGGTGGCCCGAACCTATTTACATTCATCTTGCCCGCATTCAGCGTAAAGTTGTTCTTCTTGCATTGTGAACTGTATTCGCTGTAGGTTTCTGGTTACAAAGTTTCTTGTAACGAAAGCTTTGGGCAAGAATACCCTTGCATATAAGAGATAGTCTGTCGGCAGTTTTCCTCTTTTTGCGCCTCAACTTTCACAAATGTGCTAGCGTTGCATTTTAAGGTTAAATTTGACAAGCTATTTGTGCGGCAAGTTCTACGGTCACGATTGACTTCAAACTTGCAGATATAAGACTGGAGAGCTGTGAGGCTTATTTGCTGAAGTTAGAGAAAAATCTGTCTCAGGGTTTCGCAGTTACAGTGTAACAACATTTTTTGCAAAAATGTGGTTTTAAACATATGCTGATATCTCAAACGTTTTTATACCTACAAGAAAATAAATAACAGTTTCTTAAAGTTTGACCATTCTTTATTAAGGATGCCAAAAACATAACCAACGCACTTATAAATAGGTCCGGGCCACCTTAAGAGTGTCTTGTTATTGATTAAAAAATATATATATATAAATTATTAAGAGAATAAATTAAATACACCTATAATAGAAAGAATACATACAGCCCCTTTCTTATTGCTATTCTTGTGTTTTTACTCTTAACAGTTTTTGGCTGGAAGCATTCTTGTAAGATGACTGTTAAGAGATCTCTTGGACTGACTGGATCTGTACCAATAAGCCATGAATTTTTATGAAACATTTCTGAAGTCAACCTTGCACAAAAATAATATATATTTTGGATTGCTTCTTCTTTTGAAATGAGCCTAGCCTTTATTCCCTTGACTCTAGAGTGACAGTTTAGTTGAGATAAAATTAGCTGTGCAATAATAGCACTCTAGTGCCCTACTATTTCCAATGTAACATGTAAATCTACACATCGCCTATAATAGATAACTGTAAGTTTACCAATGTGTGACAATAATAGTCCATCAACCTTGCACGTTTGGTTAAGATATTATGCGATTAAAGTACTTGTACAGCTCACACAAAGAAGAGATTGTTCCAAGAAATCCAACTGTTCCTATTGAAAGTTTTTGTGACCACAAAATTCCAGGTGGTGCCCAGTTGATTGCCATGGTTAGGTCAGCCGTAAACCCAATAACAGAAATAATCAGTTGCCTTTGTAAGTATTTGATTTGTTTATGTCCAGTTACAGCAGAATTATCAGATTCTTCACTTTCGCGTAGGATCCTGCCATCATCAGAGTGACTTCTGAAAACAATGACACATACAACAGTTTTTCACAATGTGTGGAAATCATGAAAATATCCATACTTTCCCAAACAATCTTTGTAGCAAAATAAAATTGTAAAAAAATAAATCAGAAATTTTTTGCTGACCTAATTTTTGACTTCCGAAACTATTTGTGAACACTTTGTTGGTCTTACCATAGTTTTCATTTAACAGCCACAAAAATGGGGTTCAGATAGTTTCCTCAAAAATCTTTTTTGTTGTCATCATTATTGGTGTTACAATAATAATATTATAATAATTATTAGACTTTTAGAGGTTATAATTTGACAGTTTGGATTTGGATGACATGAATAGTAACCTTAAGTTTCGGCTCTGTGCTCTCAGTCTTTTGATTTTATCCTTAAAGAGGATTTCATTTCCTTTTAGACTCTGACAGCAACGATATTCTGTGATGTTGCGATTTCACAAAGCAGACTTCATGAAATATCGCCGAATTCGTAAGAAAAAATGCTAAATTCAAGTACAGTAAACAATAAAATTAATTCTAACTTTTATTAAACAAGATAATAGGCAAATTTAACTATTGTTTTAAAATAGATGTTAAATTATTCTTTTACATTCAAATTGCCTGTTAAACAACATTAAAGTGATTTTTCTCCTTTGAAACCTGGTTAAACAATGTTAACTAGCCCTGACAAAACTGCATAATTTATTGCATAATATTCCTATCTTATCACAATCTGCCCTAAAAATGCCACATGTTTGCTGATTTTTGATCGCAATCTATCAGAAGGCCTGTTTGTTGCTGTAATTAAGAAACAGTTACTATTTTAATGTGGTTCTTCTAACTTTTTTAAACTTACTTGGATGTTGCCTTCCTCTCTTGTTGTTGAAGCTTTTTTAAAAGCCACAGGTCCCTTAAAATGCAAGCAGTAAGTGATCCTATCCAACAGTAGAGGCCCAGGTCCCACAATTTAGCAGATTTTCCTTGAAGTATTTTTTTGTCCCTTGCCCAGGCAATGTGTTCCAAGGGATAAAAAGTTAGACCGCAGAAGATATCAAAGAGGTTGGTCCAGCGTACAATTTTGTCACTTTCCTGCAAAGATAACAAAAAAAGTACATGTATCTCCCTCATTCAGCTCGCCTATAAAGAAGGGGCATAAACATATGCTTCCTCTTAAGGCGTTGGTTTACACCGATCAGCTAGAGTTCGTGGTTATTCTGTGAATTAAGGCAGAGTAACAAAAGAATCTCAGCTGTTGAAATAAAATTGTAAGTTTTTCAAAGAACGCAAAAATTATTTTAGGTTCACTTCTTATTCTTCGGTTCTTTTTGGTCCTGTTGCTGTCTTAAACAAAGTAATTGATATCTTTCCTTTTTCCCTCTTTTTCTCTTTATTACCTCCTTTCCTGTTCCATAACTTCGCGCGAATGAAATCATTGCAGCGTCATCGAACAATCGAAGAACCGTTCGACACTCGCTCATAGCTTCAGCGAAAATTCGAAACTTTTTACCAGTAGCTTCACACGACACCTTCTGCAGTCCTCCACTTGCCAAAAAGCTTGCGTATTGTAGTAATCGCATTATTTTCTCTCGTCCGCGGTACGTTTCCAACACACTTGCTAATCTGTCCGCCATGTGAGCTATAAAAGCGTTCAAAAAGGGGGTACTTTACCATGGGGAAGATTGTAATAGAGGGCCAAAAAATGACCCTCCGATACTCGAGCCCGCGTTTTTATTGGTCAATAGGTGACCTTACATGACGTACTTGCTGAGTTGTTTGTCGCTCGCTTGGTCGATCGCTTGTTAGTTGTCAACCGTCGCGTTGTAGGTGCTGTTGTACCATGCCAAAACGTTCTCCCGCAAAGAGAGATTTTTGAGATAACGGGGAGAGAAAAATAAAAAAAAGCAAAGAAGGTGCTTCTTCATCAACCAGCAAAGTGGATGAAGATTTGGTAAGATCTTTCTGTTTGTTTTCTGTTATGGCACCCCTTTTCACCTTTTAACGTATTAGGGGTAAGCTCATATGATTTCTAGTTCAACTTTTTAATACCTCCTCAGATTTTCTGGAATGAAAAAAGCGTTTAATTCACGAGGAAGCTAACATATTTATTATACTACTGAGTTGATCATCTTTAAAAAGGGAACATGTTCTTTTTTCATGATCGAGGGCAAGCTACCACGACATATGACATGAAGAGCTTTGTTTTTGTACTAGCATGATTTGTAGTGATATTTGGCATAAATACCACGAGTGATATTTCGAAATTGTTATACGTAATTTCAAATTTGAGACAATTTTGAAATATCACGAGTGGTATTTATGCCAAATATCACGTACAAATCATGCTATTATTTGTTTATACTACTACCTGCAAAAGGTTTGTAATTTTCACATGTAGGTATTTCAAATTAAGCTGAAATACCACTGCTCTAAGCCAATCAAATTGCAGTAATTTTTCATGTAGTAGTGTAAGGCATCTAATCTGTCGATTTCCAGGGTTTACCTCGGTGTAAAAACATGTGAACTTTTTCTTTGTTTCGCACCTTTTGTTTTTCTGCATTCTATTGCGTTGACTTCTTTGTTTCCTCCGTTTTACGTCACTTGTGAGTTTAACAGGTTCTTACACTGAGGATGAGCCGTTTTCCATTTATAGAAATCAAAAAGCAACCTTGAACTGTAGACCATAACAAATAAATATATGGCAGCACTCCTTCATACTTTATCTATCAATAGTTGGCACTGCAGCTGCCCCCGCTCTGTATTTATCGTGGTCGGTCAATAGTCTTCTTGTTTGTGTAGCTCTTTAAAAAACATAGATTCATAATGGATATTTTCACACATATTGCATACATAGATAAGAACACAAAACAAAAAGTTTCATGCAGTGATTCAGTTCGATTTTAAAGCAGCTCAGATCAAACCTTTCTCAGTTTCGAGAATATTTTATTCCAAAATATAAGCAAAGATTTGATTAGAAGTTGTAATTCTTCACTATTTCTCTTTTGCTTTTAATTTAAAATGTTTGATCACATTGCTCTTGGGCATTCTAGTCATTTAACTTTTAAGACAATACGTTAATGAGAATTCGATAAAGAGAATTGTTTCGTTATGATGGAAAGATATCTGTTGAAGAGTAGTATTCACCATTTTGAATTCCGCAAGAGATACTGAAAGCAAAGTTTATGCAACAATATTGGGAGGGGACAGACAGACAAGGTGTATTAGGGAATGCAAAAATAACAAATACTTGTGGTTATATAAATGTCACTTAAGATCTGATTAAGTTGAGTAATTCATAAGTTTTTTGGCAAGTCTTTCTTACATGTAGCTGAACCATACATTTATAACAAATATGGAAACCTTGGAAGTTTAGCTCTGTGGATTTGACCTTAAAGTGGAAATAAAAGTTCTATTGTAAGATGATACAAAATTTTTTTATTTCCTCAAATAAAAGCCATCCCTCTATTAACCACCTCCCTCAAATAAAAAATCTTTTCTAGTAATAGTTGACAATACAGCTCCACCCCCTCTGTATATTGTCGGTCAATAGTATTCTTGGTCATTGTGTAGCTCTTTGAAATATACCAATTCATCATCAAAGATTTTCACACATATTCTATACAGAAGGTGAGAGTAAAAACAGGAAACGAAAGGTTCCATGCACTGTTTCAGTTTGATTTACACAGCTATGATCTGAAAGCATTCTCTGCTTTGAGAATAGTTTATTTTAAACCATTACAAAAGATTTAATTATTAGAAGTTAAAGTTTTACAAACAGTTCATTTTATTTGCCTGAAATTAAGCCTTAGAAATTAAAAGGTTTGATCAATAATTGCTCACAGATGTCCTTCAGGGGATTAAGTATTAGAAATGGCTAGAACATGCCAAAGAGATAGAGAAAGAGATCAAAGATCTGTGAACTTGTGTCTGGCAAACTATCCAAGTGTTTATATACACAGTCATACACACCTTATAACCTCATCTCCTTTCCCAAGCATTCATTATATAGAGGTGTTCGATATAGCAAACCCTCCACTTAACTAACACATTTCCCCAGTCCCTTTGCATGTTTAATCGAGGTTCCACAATGTACTTAAATACTTCGATCACTAAAACTCCTTTAAAACTATATTATACAGCAGAGAAGTTGATAACGGATTTGTTGTTGTTCTTGTTGCAGGAAGACGAAAAGTGATTAATGAAAGAAGATCATTAAGAAAAATAAATATCAATCGTTTTTTTTTTTAAAAAAAAATGGTGTATTCATTTGTATTAAAAAAAAAAAAACTTTTGAACGTCGTTTCTCCTTAGACAACAACTACTCGCACGTCCAAGCTCCTTACAGAGGTGTCTTCTCTATTTTCTAAACAACCATTTTTCGACTAGATTCTGTTTTTTAAGAGCAGGGGATTTTTAGATAAAACTTCATTGACAATCATTATCATTAACCTCTCTCATAATATTGGGAAAGGCTTTTCGTTGTGCGTGGTTTGTAGAATCTCGTTTTTGACTCTCTTTTACTATTCATTGTAATTATTATTCTTTAAAAGTTCATATTTCAGTTTATTTGTTGCTTTGGTGCATGTATGTTCTTTTTATCCCCATATAACGGTGACGTGGGATCCTATTCACCACCGGTGTTTAGTTTTCTGTAAGCTAAAAATAAATTTAAGTAAAACCTTAAGTTTTACGACAAGTGATATTGTATACCGCAGGACCCAACCTAGAGAGTACAGTGGGGGATCGAGGGGAGGGGCCTGGGCCATTATTTTTAGCCCAGAATGAGGCTCGAAGAGCAGAAAATGTTATTTTAGACTGGGTCCGCCACTGCAGTAACATCGAAAAGAATGTGTCAGTTTGAAAGTATCAGAAAAGGTCACGAATTTTATAGACGGTGTTCTCTTGAAAGGAAATTTCTTTCTTCGCAATGACCGAGTATGTTAAAGTCGATGATTACGAAAACGAACGTTTTGGAAACCCATAACCACCGGATTGTAGCTTCCAGTAAGATTTACTAAAAAGACTAACGATTGCATGGATAAGAAAAGATTAAAAAAACCTTCATGACAACAAAATGGGTCGCTTCGGACGATCAGCCGAAGATGCAAATAACAAGAAAAAAAGACCAGTCACTTGAATGCTGTTTTTCTAGTCAAACTGCTTCAACGAGTCAAACGTCTGAGCTCCTTACAAAGACATTTCTCCATTTTTTAGAAAACCGAATTTCGAGTAGCTTTTCTCTTTTTTTACGTTTAATGAATTCTTAGCAAATCTTTGAATCAAAATAACCCATTTAAATTTGTTACTAGTAACGGGAAAGGCTTTTCCATGGACACGGTTAGCAGAACATCGTTTATGATCCTCTTTAACCATTCGTTGAATTATTCTGTGTAAGGCAATCCATGTTTCAGTTTATTTGTTGTTACAAGGTCAACTATTCTCGAACTTGCTTTGGTGCGTGTAATTTTTTAGCCGTATGTAATGGTGACGTGGGAGTGTCGACATTCTTTCCAGAATAAGAAACTACAAAAAGACATCTACCGATGAAAAGCAAAACGGACGATTTCGATGCCTAATCACCGCCTGTGTTTTTCTTTCTGTATGCTTGAAATAAATTTAAATAAAACCTTCATTCACCAAGAAAGATGACTTCAGAAAAGAAAAAGGCCCGAAGATGATTATTGGTGATAGAAAACAATAGTCTCTTGACCGTTATGCTTCCTCTTACAACAACGAGTCAAACGTTTGAGCTCCTTTTTAAGGTATCTTCTAGAATTTCCTAAAAACCATATTTCCACCAGAAAGGACCTTATTCACATTCAAATGTAGCAAATTCTTAGGCTAAACCGTGAAACACCAACTTTCTACACTCCTTTTTTATTAATGGAAAGGGTTTTCGTTGCGCGTGGTAAGTAGAGTCTCCTTTTTGACCCTACTTTACCATTCACCATATTATTCTTAACCTTCACCATTCATTGTTTTATTCTTTAGAACTTTATTTTTTGCTTATTTGTTGCTATAACGTAAGAGTTATCTTGTACACGCGTGACCTTGGTTTCCGCTCAAAACTGTGGTAAAAGGGTCCACACTCTTTCCAACATCAATAGCACAGCATAAAGGGAAATCAAAGTGTCTCCGTTAAGTTGAGGACAAGCAATATTGTACGCCGCTTTGACTAAAGCTGAACCCAACTTAGAGAATACTAGCGACGAATTATAGCATGTCGCAGTTTAAAAGTATCAAAAAATGATGCCTTTAAAATGGTGTTCTCTTTTTTCCACATGACCGAGTATTTTGAAGTCAATGATTAAGAAAACTAACATTTTGGGAAGTAACCTATTCACCAACAGAGTTTAGCTTTCTGTAATCTCTAACAGAAAGACTGTTGATTGCATGGATGAGAAAAAAAATTAAAAACCCTTAGTACACCAAGACGGTTTGCTTCAATTCGGAGAAGAATACGACCGGTCCAAGATGATAACTAGTGGTAAAAATTTAGAACATGCATTCTGTTAAATGCTCTTTTTCTAGTCAAACTGTTTCAACGAGTCAAACGTCTAAGCTCCTTACAAAGACATCTTCTAAATTTTCTTAAAAACCGTGTTTCGAGTAGCTTTTCTCTTTTTTATACGTTTGGTGAATTCTTAACGAAGTCTTTGAAAATAACCCATTTAATTTGTTACTAAT